GCGGGGGGGTCGAGTGGACGCTTACTCGATGTCTGCCATTTTGGTCAGCAGCTGGATACGGACCGAAGGTGGGAAATCGACTGCGGAGAGAAGGAGACGAGCGTGAGCGAGCGCAGGCTGCAGGGATGCCTGTCCCCCGGCAGAGGGGCCGAGCGCGCGGGCTTCACCTCGGTGCACAAACAGGTGAATCTCGGTGAGGATGTCGTGCAGGGCCAAGCCCTTCAGCGTCTTCAGCTCCGTGATTTCTGAGACGGCAGTGAGTGAAGGGGTTTCCTTGCAGCGCTTTCCCTGTGACCTGCAGGACGCGAGCCACCCCCAGGAGAGCGCCGGTGGGGAGCGAGACCCTCCCCAGCGAGCAGCACGGCACGCGCGGCCCAGCCCTGCCCCAGCCGGGGCAGGACGTAACGGGACGGGAAGCCCTGGAAAAGAGGAGGGTTTACAACCACGGGGATTACACTCAAGGATGGAGGGGAATTAGCAGGAACTCTGTTTTGAGCAAGCATCTCCACCGCCCTCGCTCGCGCTTCAAGGCAACCCTGGTCGGCTGTGGGCTGTGCAAGGCTGAGAGAAAAGGATACTCCGATAGGCAGCGGAAAAGTCCTGGTTCAGCATCCAGTCAAGGATGTTGGCAATGTCAGACTTGAGGGGGTGGCCGGTGCAGGTGTAAACGTTCTCCTCCGTCACCCTCCCGAAGGCCATGGCGGTGCTCTGGGGAAGAGGAAGGGTGAGGAGGGCTGCAGAGGGAAGGGGCTCCCTGGGGGCCAGCCCTTCCTCTGCGACTCCCTCCAGGCAGCAGGGACAACTGGCTCCTGGGTTACGCGAGGCAACTAACGCTCGTGTCTGCTGCGGACAGCGTGAGGTGCAGCCACGGGCCGTACCTGTAAGATATTCAGGGCTCTGCGCATATCGCCGCTCGAGAGGGTCACCAAAGCTTTCATCCCATCTTCCGTCACATCCACCCTGGAAGACCAGGAGAACTGGGGCTGCCGCACAGGGCGAGAGAGAGCCGAAGGACGGCCGGCTCTCCAGATACTAGCCCAAGGTGACACCCAGCACGCCACCATGGCAGCTTTGTGGCACGGCCCCGGTCTCCGTAACGCTCCCGCGGAGCCCAGGGACGAGGCCGGGAGCTCAGAGCCCAGCACCAGCGCGGGCAGTGGCTGGTGCTGTTGGCTGTGAAGCTGGTTTGTAAGTTTGCAGCCGCCTCGGCGGCTATTTCACGCAAACAGCTGGGCAGGTGAGGGCAAGAAGTGGATATTCGGCTTCAGAAAGGCCAACAGCAACATTGCAACTTTTTGCAGTGTTAAGTACTTTTTGCACCGTTACAACAAATTGCCCAGCAGCACTGGATTTCAAATGCAGCTGAAGTCTGAGGAGACAGTTAAATACAAGATCACTGCGACACTGAAGGTTTTTTTTTTTTGTCCTAAAGCAAAAATTAATAACTAGCCATTGGGTTAATTTTGCTCAGAACATGTGTTTCTGCCTAATCTCTGCCTGCCCACCCCTCTGGCTTGTAAAGCAGAGGACAGCTGGGCCCACCCTGGCCCCTCTGTCCCTAAGGATGGTTAGCAGCCCCCCTGCTGCGGGGCCAGGCTGATCTCCTTGCACCTGCGGGGCTCCTGGCACGGCCTGGGTGAAACACGGGCAGGACCGGCCCCGGAGAGCCTTCATTAGCTGGGCAGAGCCCTGCCCTTGGGAGCCAACGCTGCTGATGGAAGAGCTGGAAGAACTTGCTTGAAATAACCCTGGAAAAAGCAACGAAGCTGCTGTTCCCTCCCAGGCAGGGGGAGCGGGAGGGAAGGGGGACCACTGCGGAGCCCCCACCCCGGCATCCCGCGCCGTCCCTGTGCCCTTCGCTCACCTCTCCTCCTCGATGACGTGCTGCAGCCGGGGCACCATGAGCTCCGGGGTGAGGGGCCCGAACCGGAAGCGCGTGCAGCGGGACTGCAGGGCAGGGATGATCTTGGAGAGGTAGTTGCAGATGAGGCAAAACCGGGTGTTCTCGGTGAACTTCTCGATCACTGCAAGGAGAAGGTAGGAGAGGTGCTGCATCTGCCGAGGTCCGTAGCCATCCACGACGGAGGCCCTAGAGCACGTGCCTTGTGGGAGGGGGCTGCCAGCCGTGTCCTTTTCCTGGCTGGAAAAGGCTCGAGGGGTGCCAACAGCGTGGGGTCACACCACTGTCCCGACCGAGCCCCCCAGGCCCCTCACCTCGCCTTAGGGCATTCTGGGCATCCTGTGTCATGGCATCTGCTTCATCCAGGATCACCAGCTTGAAGCCTTTCCTAAAACAGAGAGAAAGGAGGTGGCTTCGGTCTCGCCTGCCTTTTAGAAGCTGCTGGGGTCGAGTCAAGCTGGATGCTGGAGAAAGGAGCTGAGAGACACCTATCCCCAGCCCGGCCCCACCGGGAACATGCTGTTTAAGGCTGAGGCTCCCTCCGCCCGTCCGAGCATCTCAGCAGCACCATCAGAGCCCTCCTGACCAGCAGCCTTATCGCCCTCATCCTCGTGGCGTGCTGGGCACTCCCAGCTCCTTCGCAGGCTGCTCGGCCACAAAGCCCACCCCAGAAGCCACCTCCTTCCTTGGCAAAACCACCTCCCCTGAGCCCAGCGCCCGGCCGGGCTGCGGCCAGAGGGGGAAAAGGAAGGGAAATACAGCCCTGCCACTTACTTAAAGATGGTCCTGGTGCTGGCGAAGCTCAGGATGGGCCCTCGGACTATATCGATCCCTCTGTCATCCGAGGCATTCAGCTAGAGAGGGACAGAAGGTGGGAAGAGCAGTGGCGGCCGTGGCTCTCCTCCCTCCCTGCG